TATTAGCTGTCCCTCAGTAGCTAAGCGGTAAAACCACGTGACTGTGGATTTTCCCGTGGGTAAAGAAAATATCGCGATAATAATATTCAGTTATTTCTTCTCCAACACGGCCAATTCACTAATTACCTATATCTATGCAATAAAAAGGATATACTCTTGCAAAAGATACTAAATAAACATTGGGTCGTATACGTGTGTTTACTAAAACACGTTTTCTATTACCAGTCTATGAGTCAAATCCTTATAAGAAGTTTATCAACTCATTCTGTTTGTAGGCCACATCGAGCGGCGACACGGCCATGCCTAGACTTGACATCGACACTGGCTTACTCATACATAATCTCCCTGGGCGCCACTGAACAGTTTATTGTATGCACAGAAGCGCGTGAGCCAAGTTTATGACTACATAGATAATCTTAAAATCGGGATAGGAATTTTGTGCAGCTTTTGGAGCTACAGCTTGTAATGTTTACAGTAGTGAAAGCTGCATTTCATTTCAGCATAATGTATGAAAAAGGTAAATATGCATAACATACACAATTTTGTGTGAAATCTACATATTTCACTTTTGGTCTTTTCAATGCGAATGTATTATCAGTAGACCCAAGGAAAGGCAATGGAATGCAATCCAAGTATAATATTGTACACATTTTCTTAATAGCTTGGCATTATAAAATATGTTTAGATCTTGGCTCAATTTCACACGTTTTTCGTGGCTAGAGTTAAGGCAAGTCGTATCGAAACGGGTCTTTCTCGTTCACATAGCGAGTTGTAAACCGTTCTTTAACTCCTGTAAAGACAACAGCATATCAAGTTATACACTGTGGTATCTTATGCAGTCGTAAAAGGTGCTATTTTGAAAAAAAAATGTATAGTTTGATGTGCTATCGATTGTACATTAAATCTTTTCTCGTAGCGGACGGCTATAACAAGGTGCCATTGGCGAACTTATCTCCGGATCGTTATCTGTGCGTAAATATTCATTACATGTAAACTTATTCCTCTATTAATATATAGGATGTTGTTAATCATAAGCTATTTAGATTCTACATAGATATACGATGATATTGCTGAAGCGCTTAGTAATATACGGGTAATGCCTTACGTAATTTTTGTGTTGATAACCTTTAGTTCTATTTTGAAATGATGCTTCTACTCAAGTGAAGAAAGAACAAATCTATTCCTGCTCAATAAAAGGTCAAACTTGGTTGGTTGAAATATTGAAAACCACCAAGCAATCTATTCTTATTAGAAGTATTCAATCCTAGATTAGATCGTCGCTTAGAATACGGGCCGAAGTTATGTAGAGGTTGATTTGTTAAACGAGTAATGACGTTCATCTGCACCCTAACCACATTTCTTTTAATATTTTGCATTTTAAATGTAATTCTTTAATGCAGCTACAGTATGTATGTGGTGTATCAAAATAATTTAGTTAAAATGTGTTGAATGTTACAGAAAATCATTGAGTTAGAGGAATGTTAAAAACACTTCATTATTATGCCTTTATCCCAGTGTTTAGCTCGCAGCGATATAAGAGCGGGCGCGTGCGTGACCGAGGCACAGATAGTGAGTTTGATTGCCGCCGGCCATTTTCGAAGCACGAACTTACACTTACTCGTACTTGTGAAGCTCATTTGCTTGTAGGATGACCAATTGCTCTCCAAAATGGTATTATTTTGATAAAATGTTCCAAAGCGACTTTCTTTTAGAGTACTTTGGGGCCTACTGAACCCTGCTCTGAAATTGGTGGTTTTATCTAAATTAATCATTATACTATTTTCCTGAGATTTCAGTTTATTTCAAAATAATATAATTTAAATCACTAGATAGTGTTTGCTTTTTTATCTTACAAGAATTATAGACTGTGTTCGTAACTACCATTAACGGCTAAGAAAGTAGGTTACTCAAATTTTTGAAAGAAATATTAATTTATTTATATGCGTTATAGCAATTAGAAATAAAATATCAAACGGCGGCAAGCTCTTATAAATTATTATAGCATAAACACATGTTTCGTGCAAAATTAGACAGGTAAAACTTTAAACTTGAATAAAAATAACTACTGCACAATTATAAAAAAATTAAAACATTAATTTATAATTGGCAATTAATAACATGTTTATCAAAACAAACAAAATTCTATGGAACATGAAATAAGTAGGAGTGTACGAGTAAATAGTGAAAAAGAGATTACACAACCAAAGCATTGACAATGCACTTTGTTTTTGCTTGAATAGAGCGAGTGGGCGTAAATAATGTGCTTTCTATTCAATAAGATATTTTCTATTCAATAAACTATGCATCGGATGTATGTATCGTACGTGCTACACGTATGCGTTGCGTTTGTACATTCCGGTCTTTACTTGACCAAGAAATTGGCAAATATTTGTTTATAGCGACGAATGAATATGCATTAAATGCGAATCTTGAAAGTTGTGGATAAAAAAAAAAAAAAAAAATTGTTTTTGTAAAGATAATTAACTTTTTTAAAAAATAAAACCGACTTCAAATGCGTGAACACAAAAAAAACTAAAAATTAAAAATATTGCGTATAAAAAGTTTATCCCCAATTTTCCACCCTTGGGGGTGAAATATTTTCTTCAAATTCGCATGAAACCACCCTTTTGATAATACCTATTCAACAAAAAAATAATCGTTCAAATTGATTTATAATCGGCGGAGATATTGCGTATAAAAAAGTTCATCCCCAATTTTCCACCCTTGGGGGTTGTTTTTTCTATTATTAAATTTAAATGGGACCACCCTTGAGGTATTACCTATACGCCGAAAAAAGATTTGTTCAAATCGGTTCATAATTGGCGGAGCTACCGCGTAACAAACATAGAAAAAAAAAACATACGGGTCGAATTGAGAACCTCCTCCTTTTTTGAAGTCGGTTGAAAAAAATACAGTAATGTAGCATACACGAGTGTGCAACTGTTCATAATATGGCTATTAATTCTTATATGTATACATTTTTGAGCAGATTTTCATATAGTGTTTCATCATATGTTTTGGAGGGGTTTTTACTATCGTACCAACCTTATAAAATTTCACTTCTGCTCCGTCCGAGTGTAAATTTTACAAGGTGCGACTTCATTTAACATTCGTTACTGCTAAATATAAGTGGAAGTACGAAGACTAAGAATACCCAAGTCTATAAGTTATTTTTATCAGTTCATGTTGGGTACTTCACATACAAAAACATTTTATTTTGCTATAAATAACCCAAAGATGGTAGTAACTTATTTGTACTCTATGTTACAACTCTACTCAATGTACCATCAACATAACCAATAAAAAAAAGATTTTTCTTGAAAACTACTTTTATGGAGGAAAGGATATTATGAATCAATTTGTTAATATTATAAACATTGTTTCATAATGTAACAAGATTTTATTTTCTTCACTCATTTATCTAGATAAATACACGTAATATGACAGTGCTTAACTTTACACCTATTGAACATCATTTAAATTGAATTACCTACTTTTCTTTTACACGTTCATTCGGAATACCTTGTATGTACTAACATTACTTTCGTGTAGCATTTCCAGGGATGATTTTTATTCTGTTACTATCTAGGTACATAATAGGCGTGTAACGTAACATTTACAAATCTACTTAATAAAATATATTACTGATTCAATAATGCTCTCGTTATTGGATACAATAAAAGTGTCATCACATGATTGATACTGAGTCTGAGAAGTTACATTTCATTGCTGACTCTACATGAGTCACTGTTTAATAGATTAAATGGAACGCATTAATCCAAGCCGGCGTGCATGGACGGGTTTTATTAGCTGAATAAGTGCCACAATTACTGTCATTGTCCCTTGGCTTCAGATGGACAGTCTTACTTACTCTTGAACGCTCATAGCGAAGCAGACTGGACATGGGAAATAGACGGCTCCTCCAGTTTAAACTTTCTTTATAAATATCGGTCCTATTACGTGCACGATAAGGGTTTACTTATAATCACAATGTAAGACTTGATGTGCTTTGTAAAACATCAGAAACTCGTTAAATGTACCTAATTGAAATAAAGATCCTAACCGAGTTTTGTCATTTGGGCCAATAAGCGAGTTAAATGCTTGTGCTAACGGGTTCAAACCTTATTTAATGTATATTTTGACATGTGAGCAAACATGGGTATACTCAATGCATACGGAAATGGCAATGTAACCGCTTGCATCCTTAGCGATGCCAAAACCTATCATGTAATATCATTGAACTTCTGCTTCAAATATGGTCACAATAATGGCATGCTCTGCCTTTCACTGCTTATTAAATAATGCAGCAAATGTACATTACATATAAGAACTTTTTAAATATTATTCCAAATTTATGTTGCGTCACCATTGGCTCTACACATGATACATCATCTCATCAGATCTTACGCAATACTAATGACATGTTATAATGAACTTCAATGTACTAAAATGGAAAATAGCGGAATACATATTTATTTATTTATTTATTTATTTATTGATATTAGGGAAACAAACAATTTTGATATACAGACAAATACATATATTCCTACAAGTTTCATCTTATTATTGTGAACTACATGCATGAATAATGGAAATGTTCACAATCTATGGTAAAGAGCTGGAATATATTTAGTGGCAAAATCCAGGATACAGTGGTCTTGCGTATTTTATTAAAATATTTTACATACACTTCTGAGGTCTAAAATCATGTGCCCAATTCGATCAATTGACTCAATTTCAATAACTAAATGTTTTTAAATCTTGATTCTTGGTTTAAAAACAAATTGAACATGTAGACTGTAAAGAGTATCTTCGATATTTATTGTACGAGTATAACATATCGCTTTCATGCTTTATGAACTTTTTCTTGAAAGTTCGGCAAATAAGTCCTAAGCTAATGACGGTATGATGACGTTGACGTCCTTCCTTATTCGCATGCTTTCTCTATAGAAATAGTATGTAAAGAACGCTAGTGTTGAACACGGTTTCGTCTTTTGCAGATGGTGCCTCGAGCGCAGTGAGCGGAGCCGCGGTGGGCGTGCCTCCCTCTTGGGAGCCGTTCTATTGCGTGCTGCAGCAGGATAGGCGCACCCTCACAGCCTACACCAGCGAAGAACTCGCTGTGAGTATTCATACATGCATATCTCTTTACCAATATTATTTTAGGCATCTCTGATGCAGTTAAAACGGAGAGAAACGGGACTCAAACGCGACACGCGGAGGTTACCTTTTGCAAGTCTGTAAAAGCTCGAGTCTGATATAAATTAATACAATCAAGCGTATCTTTTGTTACCATAATCCGCAGTTTAATTTCAGATGCCTAGTCCTTAAAATAGTTCAACAATATCTTTTTATAGGTCCTAGCTAGTTCACTACACACTGTTTAAAGACGTCTTTTAAAAGTTTGCAGTAATATTGTGTTCACGGAGATGTACTTTGTCGACTCCAAATTATCTAAAAGAATGTCTAATGTGGTCGACTTAATTAAAAAAAAAACATGATACAGTTAATTAGGTATAGAAATGTATTTAATTTATTAGAAATTCATTTTGATATAGTACTGAATGGTGCTCGTTTATTATTCATTCATTCAATCGTATTACACGGTGAAAAGTGTAATGTATAGTCTGAATCAATCTGCAATTAGTAAGACTTTTTTCATTACTGTTTTAATTAAATCCTTTTTAGTAGGCGATTCGGATTGTTTAATATTCAATCAGCACGGGTCAATAAATAACAGTGCCATCGCAAAGGCATTTTTTAGTTTGTAATCAAACCAACGAAAACCGGACGCTATAGTGTTACTAAATATGCCTTCAATAGACCGTAACGACTATTTTGGAATGATGTGGTTGATATCTAATTTACGAACCTTCATGAATGCGCATTTTTAAATTATTTCTTCCATACAAGTGTAGTGCAATATCGGGTAATGAGTTTTGCGTAATAACTTTTGATTGCGGTGTAATCTAGTAATTATATTGTCTGTTACTATAATAACGAAATGTTTCTGTACTATGACGGTTCTATTCATACTATTCAATGTGTTTATGTCATAATGATGATAAAAAGCTTTTCAATGAAAACTAAAATGAAATCCCTGCATCAATTTAATACCAAAAACGTTGTCTTATCAAAATCTTGAGTTTCACGCGCATATTATGTAGATAATGGCTGACCACAGAGATGCATTTATTCGAAAGTTACTGAATTAGTTATTACCGAGACCAGTGACTGTATGTTTATCAAAATTGCTTCATAGAGGTATACTTAAAAGTTTTGAATTGTTTTCGAAATTGGGAAATTCGGTTGTTCCGCTTTCCTAATCTCGGAACATCTTGGTCTGTTATCTTTGGCGCGGAACCATTCTAATTGACGCGACTTGAAAGGTGCGCGCGCGCAAGTCACGCTGAAAGCTTTTGATCGTTAACACACCCTATTAGAGTAACGAACGTTAATCAATAATAATCATTATTTTTATTGACATATGATATATATTGATTGTCCTCTTTTATTAGCACGAATATACTGTAATATTGAATGTAATGATGCCCAATTGGCTATTAAAATAAATAAAACACGCGTTTTATTACATTAACGTTTTAAAATGTACACAATGCGTTACATTTCATAATCAAATTACAATTGTTTCATTGGATAACCTAATCCAGTTACATAAATTTAACGAGGATAATGAAAATTACATTGTAATTGAATATTTGTAATAATTTTTAATAAGTACAAAGTCTCCCCCTCCCCAAGGTTCCCCATTGTGGAAAACCTTGGGGGAGGCCTTTGTCCAGCAGTGGACGTCATTTGGCTGAAACGAACGAACGAACGAAGTACAAAGTCTCTAATTTACTACTGCTTGATCCTTATTTATAAGTGAAAGCATCCAGAGTAAATCAAAGGCGGTATGCGCACTCTGTAACTCTTACATTACATAGTTCAACGTTTGGACGTTGATTATCATCATTACTATGATTACTATCAGGCAAATGGAATTAGATTGCATTACATCACTGGTCTCGTTTCAAGTATTGTCCGAAGCCATAAAGCTTATACATAACATTATGTAATAAATCATGAAGGTAATTCAAATGTATCTCTTTTAGATCAAGATACATTTTGCGTACAGAGAATTAATAATACCATTCGAAAAGTAGGTGTACATAAGTTTTTCTTGTATGTTAAGATGCCCTTTATTATTTAGCAGGTAGGTTAGTACCTATTACATTAGTATGCAAAAAGCGGCATTAAAGCTTTTCTAGAGACACAAAGACAATCCCGTAAATAATTGGTTCTTTAAGCGGTTCAAACTCATTAATGACCGTCAAAGCAGGTTAAAAATGGAGTTCTATTTATTTAACTCTTTTATTATTCACTTTGTCGCTAAAAGACAATCCGTTCGGCGCGAGAGCAAACAAAGCAGGATGCGTGGGCGCACGCGCCGGCACTCCGCATAAATCAAAATTATATGCTGCGTCTGAGCCCACGAGGGCTCTCACTCCTTGCATACAATGAAGACGGATGATCTTCGCCGTTATGACTGCATTTCTTTAGGATGCGTAACCCTGATTATGACTTAATTATACTTCAACGTTGCTGAGATGCGACAGCAAATCTTTCTAATCGCTCATCTGAGGTTGTTTATGATGTTGATAGTCGACACTTTCTGTGACAAATTACCAAAGCTCTTTCCTTTTCAAACGCAATTAAATATCGCATTCCACCTAATTAGCCTTTGATAAACAATCCATGTGTCCAGCCAAAGTCACAAAAATAACTTTAGTTTGTTAACGAGCATTTACATATCGTCAACGCAATGAGTCTCGCCGTCAGTGCATTATTGTTCATTAAAACAAATTGGAGTTTGTAAAAATGCATCCTACGTGACAGTATTAATCAGTGGCAGGATGTCTTTATGAACAATGCGAGAGGAAGCGCGAAGTGGCTCTGTTCCGCTTCTCACAGCGATGGGCGACGTTTTTAGCTCACCGCGTTATTACCTGATTGATTGCTGACGGATGAAGACTATGAATTCTAACTGCCTAGGCTTGAGACGGCGCCCGAGCAGCGCAAGTGAAAATTATAGATTACATGTTCATTGCCCACGAGGTGCCATGTTCACGAGGTGCTTTTTGTACCTTTCTCTTAGAAACATGAAAGCTCCTGGACATTTTCCCTGGTATATTCCGTCTGGCCTTGTAGCTGTTAACTCTACCGATGAAAAATGTTGTCGGCTTGTCGATCGGAACAATAGACTACTTTCTATTTCCTCCCATTTATAAACCTTTTGAAACCGTCAATATATCTAGGTTATGCTGCGAGGCGACATCTCGTTAGTTAGCAAAATCTATCTCAGATATTATTGTTGCCATAAAAGGCAACTATCGTATCAAACTATCATAATGTTCGTATGACTACAATATGAAAATAGTTGTGTAATGTCTAATTAATTAGATTATATATTTATGTATGTTTATGTACTATAATTAATATGTATTTGTCTTTTTACACGCAATCAGTCGTTTCCTGGATTTTACGTGGACAAAAAGGTAAGCAAGGCACAAAGCGGTAAGAGAGTGTTGCTTGCCTCTATGAAGTTCGTTTTGTTTGTTATGTATTGCGAATCGTTTCATATGTTTTGTTGGATGTCCATGTCATCGTTACATAAATTAAACCATTAATTATTGTAGAATATAAACGACAGATTTCTGTCTTGTATTTGCACAAATTTCAAATTATTTTGCAATGTCGATTTCCTAACGTTTGTTGTAATTTGTTTGAGCATGGCAGAATGTCGTCAATTCGTTTTGTGTTGTAAATAGGTTTATGAATATGTTTGTACAGAAATTTAGTATTTAACCGATTTATTTGAATAGACGCTTGACCATTTTAGTTGAATTGTTAGGTTCTAGACTATTGATAGGTACACCAATTTATGGTATAATAAAGTTTATAATTTATTTTAATGGTACGATAAAGCTATGAATGAAATATAGTACCAAAGAAAGTCACAAGGAATCACAGAATGGAGACCAAAATAGGGGTTCGTGCCTTGGCAAAAAATACTTATGCTCTGAAATGCTCTTGCTCACTCATCCTCAAACGCTACTATGAACTAGAGTATCAGATAGCGCTAAAAGTACTGAAATCGAATTGAGGAATGCATGTAGCATTAACGTCTTATTTAGAACTAGCTTTCCGCCCGCGGCTTCGCCCGCGTGGAATTTTGTCTGTCACAGAAAAACTTTTTCAAAAACCGGGATAAAAACTATCCTATGTCCTTTCCCGGGACTCAAACTATCTCTATGCCAAATTTAATTAAAATAGCTTTAGTGGTTTAGGTGTGAAAGTAAGACAGACAGAACAGACAGACAGACAGACAGAGTTACTTTCGCATTTATAATATTAGTATAGAGATATAGATTGATTAGGGCTTGACTTAGTATCACACTTTATTCTAATACAACATAGACATGAGACTAAAAGTGATGTAGTAATAAATGTGCGTTTACTTCATGATATGAGTGCAACAATTTTTCTTGGAAATGGAGCATGTGGTATTTAAATGGCGTGGCGGTGAGGTCATGGCGGGGGCCATGTGTGCCCGACCGTGCCAAGTTCAGCGAACGGCCATTATCATCAAAATTACTCTTGTTTTGTTCAAAAACATACTGATTTACGTAATCCGCGGCTAGGCTTTGGCAATCCAATACTACAAACAAATGGAGTCTATTTGCATTGTGCTCGAACTCTTCATTCGTAATGAGATGAATAAACTTGCTGTGTTTTTATAACATGGGGTGTTTATTATATTGTTGTTTGTAATATTGAGTGTTGTGAGTAATAGTTAGGGAGGCGAGGTAGCTAAATGGCGTAATTCAACGGCGCGCCGCCGTCGAGACCTATCAAAATCGAAAGATAAAATAATTTCGAAAAGAAAAGCTCGTATGGCAAAAACCATTTTAGCGGTGGGTTTGGCGTGTACGGTTTTTCAAAAATGTTAAAAAAACAGTTACTTGCGCATTCTCGAGCGCGTCAGATATTCATACTACGTATGCCTCGAGTGCCTCTGATAACAACGGTATACTAATCTGCCGGTTTGCGTGGTGGGGGTAGGCATATAAAGTAGTAAAAAATGAAAAAAAAAAAAATTACTCGAGCGCGTCAGATTTTCGGAAGGGGTGTTAAGTAGGCCCCAAGGAAGCTCCCTTTAAAAAAACTGACGATTTCGGCGTGACGATAAGTTACGATGAATTTTTGAAAATGCATAAAAAAAGTTATTTTGAAATACTCGAGCGCGTCAGATTTTCATAGGGGAGGTTTATCTCGGTATCCTGAAAGCATATTTTTTTAATCTGACAAAAATGTTGGTGGGTTTTCTTAATCTGACCGAAAAAGGTTTCTGGTTTCTTTTTTTTCCTTTCTTTCTCCTTGATAAAATGGGGAATTTAAGAATGTCAATAAAGCGATAGATACAACCAACGTAAATGTTTATTTAAACTTTTTTTTTGTAAAATGTATCGTTCGCGTCTTATATGCCGTAACGCGTTCTTAGGAAGACGAAATCGCTTCTCCACACTTCCGGTCATGCGGAAACCGGCAGATTTTGTATTTTTAGTAAGTTTTAGATTATATTCTTCAAAATAAAAAAAAAAAAATCGCGCTCGAGAATGCCGGATTAACGTTTTTTTTTACAAGTTCGCGACCCTATAACTCGGCGGCGTCAAGGACTTATCGTCAGATTAGTTAAATTTAGTCTTTAAACACTAAAATCAACCCCCAATATCTTAATCTGACGCGCTCGAGTATTTCAGACTATCCATTTTTTTTTACTAATCTTATCGTCTATCCTAGCGCGCGCGTCACTACATATACTACGTCACTACGTCGGCCGTTTGGTGTAGTGGTTCAGAACGGACTACTATGCCGAGAGGTCCTGGGTTCGATTCCCGGCCGGGCAAAAATTGAAATGATGAATTTTAATTTCTGTGACGGGTCTGGGTGTTACTATGTATAATATGAATGTATTTAAAAAAAAAAGTATATAAGTAGTATATCCTTTAAGCTAGCACCCATAACACAAGCATATTAATTGCTTACTTTGGGGCTAGATGGCGTTGTGTGAGATTGTCCAAAGATATTTATTATTATTATTATTATATAGAGCTAAATACTTTACAAGGTTGTTCTATTAGGTCTAAGGTATCTCTCATATCTTAAACTGCCACGCTCGAGTATTGCCGAAAATTCCCCTATTCGCCTCCCTAACTATAACTAGTGCATAAAAAGTAACTGTCAAGCAATGAAAAATAATATTGACATTCAAAGTAATCGCTACGAGTAGAAAAAAAAATACATTTCGAGCTACCGGGTGATCAGTGAGAGTAGATAATAAATAAATGTAAATTATGCAAGTAAAAACACTTCGCACTGCACAAGTTACATACATAACTTTAACGGCTTCACCGGTCATAACTTAAACCATAAGAATGGTATCCTTCCGTTTGGCCAAATTACTTTTCGTCAAATTTCACTTCGCAAACAACTTATCGCCAAAGTTTCATTTCCCAAATGAACTTTTAGCAACTGTACTTTTCGCAACTAATTCATTTGGTCAAATTATCATTTGGCCAAATTTTACTTGGCAAATGTTTATTTAGCAAATGTTTTATGTTGCCAAATATTATATCCCAAATAATTTGTTTGGTCAAATTGACACTTCACATACTTACCCACCGTTACCCACAAATCAAAGCATAAGGCACATGATCATGGTTTTCACAATAATTTTATGTAAAACATTGCAGAAAATAGTATGGTTGCAAAAAGTAGGTATTGCAGAAAATAGTAGGTTAGGTTAGGTTAGAACAGTGACCCTTTGCGCGAAGGCGAGCGAAGCGTGCCGCGGTAGCGGCCGCCGAGCGCTAGAATCACCTCTATTGTTAATTAATCATTTGGAAATTTCGATACAAAGAATGAAATAAGGAAATTAATGTAGAACAAATTTTATATTAACTCCCCATTAAACAAAATAATAACCACAAACTAATTTGTATACCATTCTATGCACCAATCAAAATAATTTGTAAATAGTTTATCGTGAAATATTTTTGCCTAATGAAATGTTTGGCAAACCATACTTTGCCAAACAATAATTTGCTAAACAATAATATGCCAAAAAAAACATTTGCGAATTAAAAGTTTGCAATAAGTTGCTTTGCCAAATGAGAATTTGCCAAATAAAAATTTGCGAAACGTTGTTTGCGATGTGATAATTTGGGAAACGTTTTTTGGCCAAACATTAGTAATCCCATAAGAATACTTAACAATGATTTAATCTAAAGTGGAGTAGTTGGACCATCTCGAAGATGTAATAAAACGTGTATAAAAACCGATAATAATTGCTGTTCCTCGACCGAGTGTCTGCTAGTGGCTTACAATTTTATGATCCCGCGCTCTATTACAATTATTCCGAAATTATAATAACATGGTACCTATAATTATAGAATTATTACAAGTTATTGTTAAGACACTGGTTGGGAAACAAGATGCAAGACAGTTGTTTAAATTATTTTCATAAAAAAGCTCCTCTCTGTACTTGATACTGTTCAAAATAGGTACGTGTAGGCTGCCAAGGTGTTAAGTATTAAAATAATAATATGCATTGATGATGTGTGCTCATAAAAATATCATTCATCTAGTTTACTAATTGGTAGTGGTAGGTATTATTTATTGAAGTATTTTGTCAGATATCAAGTTAAACATCATTCAATTCAGTTTCAAGTACGTAAATCTAAACAAGCCTAAATAAGTAACCGCATACCTGCCGATGTTTTACGGTAGCACCTGACTCTAACTTAATCTATTGGTTTTCGTTAATTGATTCTGGTATGCGGTCTGAAAATGGTATGCCCGAGATTTCAGACAAGGCAAGCGCTATGCCTTCGGGCATCATAGTCTACGGTTAGTTCATTAGACTTTAGTGCTTAATGCTAATACATGTATAATTATTATTGAATTTGTATTGTATTTCTTCGAAACCGATGTTTAGGTTTATGGAGTCTATTAATTTTATATTTTTATTAATTCTACTTGCACCAGGTGTAAGTAGGTACATAGCTATATTTTAGGCCTAAAAATAAAGGAACGGAATATTAAAACTGAAAAATATAAAACGCTCGTAAACATTTTATTGCATATGATAAGTGTTTACGTTCTCGCACTTGCAGTCAAAACGGAACAAATAAAACAAATATTGGTTCCAAGTTGTAATTATAAGTTTAACGGCGTGCCACAATATCCGCGTGGTCGTAACCAGTGGACGCGAGTGTGAAGTGAAAGAACTATAATTGGAAGTAAATAAAGCTAGCCTTGACTCGGTCGTAATAAAACTACAAAGGCCTGTGAGTTGTGGACGATCGCCGCGGCTCGTGTCGCCAACTCGGCTCATAAAAAATAGGACACAATTTTTCAAAGTTTACTACTAGTAATATCTCTGCCAACGCAACCACTCGATGTAATATTGAGTGTGTTGGGACTTTTGGAAATA